AGAAAAAAAACCCAACAAAACAAACCAGAGCATTATTAGACAAGACTAATAAAATCTTCATATAGCCATACAAGCTATACAAGCTAGGATTGACTCATCTTGGTTTTGTCTGTCCTGGATAGAAATGGAGACAAACTCAAGTATAGATATCTTCACCATTTAACTTAAATAATTCTCAGACCTATAACTATATTTCTACCTACAGTGGTTTCTAAATTCTTCTGCAGGCAGAGAATTCATCCTCCCTATGTACTTCGATCCTACTTTCAGAGCACTACTGGCAGTGTGAGAATGAGGTCCTTTCTCCACAAGCAGAGCATTTCTAAGCCTGGGATCAAAGAAGACAGATAACACTTTCAAGCCTTCCCTCCCTGACATTTTTCTGGATGGGACATGCAGCTAAAACAAAGCATTCCTAAGCATCCGTCTGAGTGTGAAAAGAGGGTGGGCAAGGAGAAGTACACTGTCTTTTGCACTTTCTGCCTTTTGTTGTACGAGCTTTGCTGCTCTGAAGCAAAGACTGCTACCTTCATCAGGTCAGGTAGTGAGTAATGGAGACAGAGAGTGACTTCACAGCCTAAAGGTTGCCCTCGCTGCTCCAGAGGCAATATGTGTACCTTATGTGCTTAAAAACACTTAATCAGTCTTGAAGTTTCATAGTAAAGTTGTCATCACAGCCCAAGTAAGTGTCCTTACCTCTAGGGAATTTTACCCTTTTTGTAGTTTGCTAGATTTAAAATTTTTGACCATGCAGTGGCACAGTCAGATGATGAAGAGCTATTTTTTTCATTGACAGCCTGTACACTTTCCTACATCATGATTTCTACATTCCCCAAAATGGATCTGGAGATCAAAAGGAAAAACACAGGAGACAGCTGAAACAACCATAGGTTTAATATATGAGGATGGAGATTCTCTACATAGCCTGATACTGAGTGCTTAAAAACTGAGCATCTGCAGCATTCCTTTAGTACACATTGCTGCAGCTGCTGGAGCTCTAGCATTCATTATTGCCATAAGTCCAGAAAGGGCAGAGTGCTTGGTTGCTGGGGTTGGTCTTTTGTGGCTGAATTTTCTTGAAAGATAATCAAAAAGGGTTGTGATTTGGTAGCATATAGCTTAGTATCAGAGAGGATTTCCATTTATTTTTGGTAAATATCATAGAGGAAAAGGACAGGGTATGAGACAGCTAATTTTGCAGAATAATATGCTTTTTGAAAGCTTAGTCTGTGATGACACATCACTGAATGACTCTGTTTATCATGGGTATCAGACAGGGAAGTGCTAGGATCTAAAACTTCAATTCTAACAATCTCCCTGAAGTTTAAACAGTCACCAGGAGAGTGGCATTAATCAGTTACTTCCCAATGCATTGCATATGAAAATGAAAGGTTGACACTTACAAACCAATCAGCACATTTTCCTACATCTGAATATTTAGTCTGTTTGGCAGGAGGAGCTATAACATAAAAGATAACATTAAGGAAAAAAAAAATTTAAAATTCTCACACATAGTACAAACTTCAAGTATTCTTTTTATCACTAATATCACAGGCAAACTATTCTTAAAGTTTGAGGATTTTTCTTCATTACTTTGTTTTTTATTTTGTGAGCAGGAAAGACCAGATTAAACCAACGTTATTATCTTACAGCCCAACTTAAGTCCATAAGGCTTTTGAGATGCTTTGTATCTAATGCTTTGTAATAAATATTGCTACCCAAAGAAATTTCATATCAAATTCTCTTAAAATAAGTGTTGCAATGAAGAGCTCTGCCTTATAATTTAAATTCTTTCACAGTATTTTTCACATAAATGAGGTACAATAAAATATTATCTGCATAAAAAGGCTTTATTATTGGATAAAGGTAGAATAAAAAGTGTTGGAGGGTTTTTATAACTGAACTGACCCCCACATGCCAAATTTGTTATCTTCAGATATAACTTTCTTTTCCAAGGAAAGTACCTGCAACACCATTTTCTAATAGATAAGACTAACACTAATGTACATAGGGAACCTACCATGATTTATGTTAAAGGAATGTTTTTTAGGCATTCAGGAGATGCTGCATAAACATTGCAAAACCTATCATTCACATCTCCCAAGTTCAGAAATGTTTCATAACCTTGACAGTGTAATTAGAGAAGCACAGTTAATCAAGCCAGTCTTTATCTCACTAACCAGTATAGCACAAACTCCAGTGGGAGTCTGGAATTCAGCATCTTCCATATGTATAATAATGCACACCTTCAGTTGCTATGCCTTGCTTTGGCACAATCTCCTTCTCAGTACTAAACTTACAAGTTAAAATTATTGGGGGGGAGGTTTAAGAAAAATTTTAAAAATCCTTTGTTTTCTGTACATGTGAAGTTTTAGGCAGATTCTTATTAGTTTTGATGTAAATAAAAGCTACCAAGAAGAGCATGGAAAAGTCACATTATCTGCCAGGGTGTTTCCAGGACCCTCTGAATTATTTGCAGTTTTAGCAACCTGGAAACTGGGAGGATTATCAAGTCCAACTCTTGAGTGGATGGCCCCCATGGGGATCCAACCCTGAAGTCTGGTGTTATTAGTACTGCCCTCTAACCAGCTTAACCAACTGACCTAATCTCAGGATCAATTTCCAGATCTCTGTTTTCAGATTGGAGATAATCCCCAGACACTGTTTGCTTCCTGGTGATTCCCAGTGAAGCTTTTTGGTTGCCTAAGCCTTTCCTCGTGCCCACATGTCTGGCACACAGCTTGTAGTGTATATGGGCAGGGTGGCTGCCTCTTGCTCCTTACTGCATATTTTGGATGCTGCACAGGCAGTGCCATAGGGAAGGGAAATGACAGAGAAGATGAAAAGATCTGTCTTAAGCACAGAACTATTATGTTCTAATGCAAGTAAAAACTATTGTAGTGATGTATGTCAAAAACAAATTGAAACAATTTTTAATAAACATACTTTAATAGAACATGTAATTTTTGTAGCTATGCTCGCACTCTTCTTTTTTTCCCCATTTTTTCCTATATCAAGTGATATCTTAAGTGAAATTTTTCACATTGTCCACATATCTGAATACCCAGATTTCCCATTACTACAGTGTGAAATAAATGCTTGCTAGCAAGTGATGATTCTCACTGACCTGTGAAGTATACGGAACAGATTCTCTTAGTTCTCTGCAAACTTTCAGTTGGGTTTAAGTGAGCTCACACCTCTCTCCAAAGCTCCTATTTCCCTTTCTTTTTTTTACTTTTGATTTTTCTGACCATAATTGGAGGCAAGTCAGGATATCTCTATATTTAAGAGCTGAGAACCTGTGACATCCAGTCCCTGAGGGAAAAACATTATTTATTATTCCACGTAGTTTTCTGACTGCTAAAAAAAGAGAATAGATATAATTATAAAAATGGGACTTACAACTTTTCTGAATCCCAAGTATGCGTCTTGCTTAGCCATCTATTCTCTCTCCTCCAGATCACAATCCCACATGCACTAAACTACACACAGAATCCATCTGCAAACCTCAAGTTAAGGATATCACCTACTGCCTCATACAGGGGGATCTTCTGCATCTTATTTTTCTAGTTTTTAAATTTTGTCCTCTATAGAGAAGGTACTAGAAAGTTCACCTTTACCAGCTTACCACTTTCAGCATTTTCTGTTCTTTCAGTATTCCCAGCAGTTCGAGAAATACTGTTTTTCTTTTCTGAGTGCAACAGAGGAACTGAGAAATAAGTTAAATGACTCACTCTGGGCTGTACAGGGACTCTGTCACAAATTAGGATATGATACTGTTAAACAATACTGTAGAGGAATACACCACCCTCTGAAGCTGAACTCCCTGTTTAAACTGACATATCTTATAAACAGGCTCCATGTTACAAGAGCAGTGCTCATTAAATGACAGATTGAAAGTCAGTTTCCCAGTATCAGAGCAGCACATTCTCCTTGAGCCTTCCTTGTTAGTACGTTGTGAATCACGTATATCTTGTCAATAACCTGTTGTTAAAAACAAAACTTTTCCTTGTTAGATCAGGCAGTACCATTACACAAATGTTATGTTGTCCTTCACATTTTATTTTGCAGATAAACAAGACTACTTTATTTACCCTTATCTGACACACCATCTCCAGAACAGAAGGGATAGTACTGAAAGGTATAATACAGTTGCAATACAAGGAAGGTGTATTTTAGGTATTAAATGAAATGGTATTAACATAGAGTATGAAAAATACTGCCCTGTTCATACAGAATCTTTCTTGAAGGAAAAATTGTAAGAATGGATTTCAGATTTTACTGCTTATGTCAAAGTATTAAATGTTGTACTAAATTATATTTTGTAGAATATAAAGTTTGTGCCACAAACAAGAAATATTTTATATTATTTATATTAAACAACATCCAGGTATATTTTAATTACTTATATTTCATAATGCAAAGTTAATTCTTGGTGGACCTGAAATAAGCAGGAGGTTAGAAGAGTCAAACAGCCCTACAAGTCAAATTTTATGACAAAGACTACTTTTCATTTTCTGATTGATTAGGGCAAAATAGCCATTACAATCAATATGAAAAGCAAACAGAAGGACTGAGTGGCAAATAAATAGATGGAAAAATATTTCAGGGGTGTGGATATTTTAAGAAAGGAGATTAGAAAGAAGGCATTAAAAGCCCAGGGGGTTACGAAAGAAACATCATATTCAGGCAAGAAAAAATCAGAGCAGTAGAAAAGTCATCATTTTTGATACTTGATCAAGCAGCACAGAATAACTGTTGTGCCTAGAAGAACAAAGAATTCTTGCATCTGCAAAAAGGATAGAAAAAGAAATAATAGCAACACAGTGTCTTCCTGATGAAAAAAAGTCAATGTGGGTGTCCTTGAGAATATAAATTGAGTACTCTGTAAAGGTCACAGGCCAGAAACTGTGGAAACAAAATAGATCTAATGGCACCAAACCCCTTGTCTGAGTTAGCACTGTATACCGAACCTACCACATATTTCTTTTTCCATTTTCTTCAGGAGTACTTCTTTGAAAAGCTTTTGTGTAAGCTGTGGCAGGGCTGTGGGAGCTGGAAAGAGCATCCCTCCACACCGCGGTGTTTCAGCACTCTGGCCACAGCTGGGCCTGAGTGCTGCCCTTTGCCTGCAAGGAGGGAAATGCTGGCACCAGTGCCATGCCCCAGGGGGTTCTAGGGCCACATGGCGAGGACCAAAAAATTTGGGAAGTATGGATCCTGCCATGACATTGAAAGGCAGCTGCTGTCATGAAACAATATTTGCATGCAAATGAGAGGCATTTTTCTTCCTAAGGTTATGCAGTACATCCAGTGATAAATATTGGTCATGTGGCACTGCCTCCTACAGAGAGCTTGCTGAAGACATAATTAAGATCATGAAAACACGGTGAAACATTAGAAATAGGACTTCAAGGAAAAAATACATTTCCCAGGAGAGGCTTCTGGGTATTGTGGAGAATGAAATTTTGAAAGAAACTGCAATGAAAAAATCAAATAAAGCCTAGGTTTTACAGACAGAGAAATATACCATTTATCACAATATATTTTAAAAGGAAAGGCTTCAATAGCTCACAAGAACTGGGTCACAACCTTAATGCTGGCTGACTGAAGCTACTGCATTACTATCATCACAGATCAATTTTGCTCCAAACAGATTTTAATACATTGTAATGTGGGAATTAACTGCTGCTTTCTGATAAGGAGCAAGTCACCTTCTATTATCAGGCATCAAATCATTTTAGTGTTTTGCTGATATCTTCTTTTTGTCTGCAATATGCCAAAGAAAATAGTTTGTCTGCCTGTAGAATGGAAAGAAAATGTGTCTGAATAAGACAGAGATAAAAATGGATACAAAAATTAGCCCTCGAGGACAGTAGATTTCCCAAGACCTTGCTGAGAACTCAGAGACAGTTATATTTGGCTGTAAGTACTCAAGCCCAAGCGTATTTTCAGAAAATGATAGATACTATTCAGAGAGCTTAAAAGATGGCAAAGATATTTAAAGGAAGACCAAATTTTATTTTTTTGTGATTACCTTCATAAATGGAAATTCTTCCATTGATTATAGAAGACAAATTGACATGGTATAACAAATAAGTGAAGGACAAAATTGCAGAATAATGTAAATTTGGAACTCATATACCAAGTATGGACCAAATCTTTCCTTTTTTCAATTGGAATATGATCTTAAGGGTGTGCCTATATCAGGGATTGAAGGATTTATGCATATATATATATATATATATATATATATATATATATATATATACATGGAGACTTATGGTACACACTCAAGCACGTAGCTGGTACACTTGGTGTCCTTTTGAAACAAAGGTTGCTACCATGCAATATGACAGCAGGGATCCTGGGGAGCATCATTTTAATATGGACACAAGGTCTTCCACTACCATAGCTCCGTGCACTTATACAGCACATTAAAAGTTAGACTGTTGGCAAGTTGCCAGTTTTTTCATATTTGTCGTGGCTGTTGACAGAGATCTCCTGCAAGTCTGCTCTTAACCTATCTATCAGTTACCAAATGACTGTCACAGGAGGACCTCTCCACTATTATCTCTCTGTTTGCAATTACTCACTGCTCTGTCCTACTAATGGATAACACTTAGTAAAAAGGACAGGAAAGTGCACATTTAGTAGTTGTGATTGACAGAACTGATAGGTAAATTCTTTGCTGTGTAAGACAAAAGCTCAAGCTGAAGGCCTAGGAAATTATCTCCCATATAAAATGCCTACAATTCTGCCCATATGTATGAGGACAGTAATGTGTCCTTCATGCTTGTGATAAAGACAGAGAAGGTGTGTCTTGCCTTCCCTCTCTTGGCATGTTTTCTTGACTGAAATTCTCTTCTACTGCAATATGTATTTGAAGACTGGTCGTCCACCAACACAACAAAACCTTCTGAAGGCTTTTACCACAAGTTCAAGTCAGACATTCACACTCTGCTGGTCCAGGTTCTGAAAGGGAATTGCAGCTTATTTATCCCAAATGTACCTGCAGTGGACTCCCTCCTGGCTCATAGTCACAGTAGCAAGACTGAGAGATGAGCAGCAGAGCTGGAGCCATGGCTTCCAGAGAAGGTTGTTCCATGACAGCTGGTTAGGAACAGCATGCAAGGATCTGGTGTGGTTGTCTACTGCTTGGTGTACAACCCTGAGGATTTCGTAGAAACGGCTCTCAGTTTCTGGAGTCAGTGGGACTTTCTCTTCAGGGTCTCTGGACAGATCAAAGAGCAGTGGAGGATCATGTCGTGTAATGAATCCTCCATGGCAGAAGCAAACGTGAGAATCATAGCAGCCATTGGAGTCCTCAGGACTGAAGTTTGGAGTGAAGAAGAAGACTTTCCAGACAGATTCACCTGCAATTTACAGCCACAAAAAAAGCTGGTGAAAAAGTGATATAATGACAAAATGGAAGTTCCCTGGTCTTAGGAAACTCCACCAACATGGGAAGTATTTCTTTTGGTAAAAAGACAGTACAGACAGTCTGTAACAGAAACTACAGCATACCAAAAGACTAAAACAAGATTGAACAAAGCAAAAATAAGCAAAACATCATGATTTTCATGCCACACATATTTATGAAGCAAATATGATAATTTCATTCCCTTGGAAGAATTCTGATTAACCAAATTATAGAATACTTTAAATAACATTGTGTTTTACATAAACAGTGCTAAGAAGATTTGCAGAAATATATACTAAGTCTTCTTCAAGGCTTATTAAAATGTATATTTGCCCCTTGACTATATTTACCCACTGCTGGGTCCTCTCTGCTTCTCATTTTGCTTATCTAAATAATTTCATTGTTAACTTTTCCCTCTCTTCCTCTCTTTATTGTATTAACCTATTGTCCTCTGCCCCATGCGTTCATTGCAAACACCTGGATACTCATTTTACCAAATGGGATGATATGAGAAGGCATAATGGCTGCTAAATTCTTGTCTTATGCTTCTATATTATTTTTCCAAATATAAATTATATATAACAGCTACAGTAGCACAATTCCTAGGTGACATTCTGCTTTGCAAAATAAGAACCAAAATTCTTCATTTATAGACTGGTCACTCTTAGTTTAATTTTCTGTGTACAGAAAATTGAACTGCCCATCCTCATGTAACTTCAGTTGGTATTTTCACTGTCTAAAAATCCTAGTTATTTCTTGGAATAAAAATAGACAAATATCAGTTGCTTCTTTCAAGAAGAACCCTCAAACAGGTCAGTGGAGGATCAGAAAACACTTAACAAAAAATCTGTGAACAAAAAAGTTGTTACTATTTTCTTCAAGTATTACAGAACAGATAGGAAAGGCAGAAACAGACAGAACAGAACATCCAGGGAAGTACACCATCCTCCTACAGCCAATGCAGTATATAATTCTTCAGAAATGGAACAAAGAATAATTAGAATAAGAAATATCTGTATTTTATTCTTAATAAAAGCAAGTTACTAAACAACTGAAATCTATATCAGATTAATTGCCCACTAAAGACTATAAAAACATTGGAAAACCGTAGCTATCAGTAATTTACATTTCTCAGCACCCTATTGTGATTTTTATTTTTTTTTTTTTATCACCTCAAGTTTTTAAATACTGTGTGAAAAATCTCTTTTTGGTATTTTGTTGAATTTTGTTAAGGTCACAGAAAGCTTGTTTATCTAGTAACAGACTTTCAAAGATTTATGTGTGCTGCAGTAGCTAATATTTATTAATCAATTCATCAGTACAACAGAGTGGATGGCACTAGAAAATGCAGGATGGGTAGAGCAGAGATAAAGTGGTATATGCCATGCTGTAACTACATCACATAGCTTTTAAAGAATCAAAACAGGTTTAAAGAGAAATGTTTCAACAGACTAAAGAGTCACAGGCTGCAGTTCTAGACTACAGCATGGATTTAAAGGACATTAGGTGACCTTAAGATTCTTTACAACTTCTCCTATTCCACAGCATTTTTCATATTAGAAGTGATTTTACCTTTAGGAACCAATTCAATGACAGAGCCTGGGGACTACCAGTTCACTTCGTCTCCACTTCAATCGAGGTCGGATAGGTGATGGCTATTATACACATTAGACTGGGAGAACCCTCTAAATGTTTCTTGGAAGTCAGCAAAGGGGACAGACTTTTAAAGGCTGAGTGACTTGCTGGCACAGACAATGGGACGTGGCAGGTTTTAAAAGGCTCTGGCTGTGAGAGCCACAATGGCACAGTCTTACTGGGAAAAAAATGAAAGGAAATTTAAAGGAAGGCAAAGCAAGATAAGGCCAGGTAGAATAAGATGGCATTCCTTCATCTACCTCCAGTAACATTTTGCAAAGTTGGTCTAGTACTCGAGTCTCTTGTTTTCTTAGAATTAAAATAAATAAAATCAAATACTGTCACTTAAATTTCTTTGACCTTATGCACAAAACATTTCCAAGAAATATACCTGTTATTTGCTGAGATTTAGAATTTTTATTCTGAGAAGGCATGTAATTCTGTACTAAGCATTGGTTCAGGCTCCTCAGACACGTTTAATTGGCAAGATGGATGATAAAAAACATAAAAAGCCAAAGGGCTTTATTAATCAGTGCACTGTGGCACTGTGTACCATTGTAGACCATGCAACACTTGCCACACCTGAGAATTTGATTCACAATACTAAAACAACTCGACAGAAGATCAGCAGAAAAAAAATATATGGCTACTAAAATGTCAGTTAAAAGAAATTCCAATAAGGCCATGCACATGAGAACTTTGTGGTCAAGCTGTCTTACCACACATTGGTCTTTCATGGTACATTTGTGCTGAATGACATTGAAAAGAACATTTTCAGATACCTTTTTTGGTGTTGATCATTGCAGCACCAGGTCTGCTGAAGGGCTTACAGATAGCAGTACAAAATTGGGAATTTCGAATTAATGGAAGTCGATACAAGCAGCCCATATAAGTAAGAAATAGGGAAATAAAGAGATAAGGAAGTTGCACCATGATTCTTTTTTCCCTGCATAAAATGAAGACTTGTTTAGGTTTTGTTATATGCAGAGCATACAGCATGTTTCAAAATCATGCATGGGTTTGGGGACAAGGCATGCATGACATCATCTCACGTCTGAGTGACACTGCTAGTGTTCTGAAGAGCTGATGGTACTTCATCAGATAAGCAGCTATAGAATGTCAGGAAACACTGAGCTCTGGGAGTGCAGAGCCTGTTCCTGTGCAATATTTATCTGTTGCACTGCAGCAGTGTTTCTGGAACTGCATGTTGTACTGGAGAAGGAGCAGCAGACTTTAAACACCTCTTTGCTAAGCATTATCAAAACTAAAGCCTGTCTGTCAGTGCCTGTGGCTGAGGAGCAGCCAGTGCAGTATTCCAGGAGGCATTAGGAACTGTCAGGCTGCTAATCGGTAGAACTGATGAACTGTATAAGGTGTGATATTAAAAAGAGAGAGCTCTCTCTCAGTCTCTCAGCTGACATAAAATCTCATTTTGTCAGAAGGTTAACTACAAGGATCAAATTAATCTCCCAGTAATTAACAGTACCTGTGTTCTCCAAAGAATCTGGATAGTAAACCCCTGTTATATAAAAAGAAAACTGTATGTCTCTTCCACAGTGAAGTTAGTAGTAAAATTGTCAGGGTTTTCCCAAAGCTAAGTATATCAAGCCCCTTCTGAAACAGCAGGTAGGCTCTAAGCCCACAGCACCCTTAAAGGTCCTGTCCAAGTGCTTCACAAATAATTTCAGTCCCATTTTTCTGCAAGTCTCCAGTTCTGTGAGCTGCCCAATAAGTTCGCTCTCAGAATACCTCTTTCCTTTAAATGTAAGAAAAAAATTAAAGAAGTTGTACTTCTAAATAACTTACAATTAAGATAGGTTGCCATTATTCCGAGCAAATCTGCTATGAACATAGTTGTTCAGTGTTCAATCTCCCAAGAATGCTCCTTTTATTATCCTTAACCCAGCTACTTATCCTCTCATACTGACTGCTTGCTCCAACAGACCAGCAGAGGCCTTGAGATTAAATATAAGTCTCTCGTAAGAGGTATTAATATATTCAAGACGAAGTGACACACTGGATAGGGATGCCATCTCTGTTATAAAAACACCCTTCTTAATCATTGATGGCAAACTGTGTTTTCTGATAAGCACTTCTTGACGTGAATAGAAGCTATTGTTGGGTTATTGCCTGGACTTCATTTTCGCTGAATTTAATCTATGACAGTAGCTTTACAGGTTTGCAGCTACTGTAATTTCCTTTTCATATATTATTGTGTTCTTTCTTTCTGTAGAAGAACAAGTTAAACAGGGATGTTCTCCACTGTACATTGGGGAGCTAGTCCCTGCTTGATTTCAGATGCCTCTGAGGAGAGCCATTTGGATGTAGCAGACCAACATAAACTGAGACAGGCTTTTCTGTCTCAGGTGTGCTCTGTAGCCATTGTCAATTCCCACAGTCTAACTCATTCTAACTCTTTTCAATGTCTCTAGACAGTAGCAGATGAAAACTGCGACTCACTTGAAAATTACTTTCTTTCGATAACTCTAAATTTCTAAGCTAATCTTATTCATAGGAGATATCAAATATATTCAGCTCTTCGATAATTTCACAATGTAGAAAAGGTTTCAGTCGTGAAATTCTTGTAGAACTATATATAGATCTATATAGAGACTATATAACTATATCTAGAACTATATATATATAACTATATATATAACTATATGTAGCAAAAGCAATACCATTTGGTTACTATAATGAAATGATACATATAACTTTGACAATACATATCATTTTTATGACTATGTGCATTCTCAAACAGCTAATAAAAATATGTCATTTGAATTTAAGAATTTGTAACTTTATTGTTCCTACAATGGAAATTACTTTTTAAAAATATATATCTATATCTATATTTATATCTATATCTATATCTATATATATCTGTTTTTAAGTGTCTGGGTATCTTAAGGCGTTATAATGTTATATCAGTCAAAAGACAGCACACCATGTCCAAGTCTGGGTGGAGAATAACTGAGTGATATTCAAAGACACAATGTTGGTTTACAACAATCTCTTGTTGCTAGAAGAGGCTTGCATGAAGTACTGTGCAGAACTTAAAGTATTTGAGTGAACCCCATGAAATAAAAGCAGTAGCAGTGATTTTAAAATATTTAGAATAAATCCTACAGTATCCACTAAACCAGAAAGGACTGCGCATTCCTGAATTTCTAACAATCCTACTGAAGAACTGCTGCAGGAAAAATACATGACACACTGAAACCATGCCCAGACTGCTGAAGACAGAAATCTCATGACTGAGTTCATTATCTAGAGTAAGTGCTGTGGTATGAGAAATCCCACTGATTCTGTTCAAAA